AGTGTGGATTGGGCCACCTGGTCCCAGAAGGAAAGACAGTTCAGCTGCATGGATGAGCTCTGCAGAGCTTTGCCATTTGCCCTCAGGGCTAGAGAACAACACTGGCCCATTTTATTTATTCAAACCATGTCTCCCTAAGATCTTTAGGTACCTAATCTTCATCATTCACTTATCCCAGCTGAGCTGTTGACCCTTTCAGTGCACAAACCAAACAATACCAGCAAAGTATCTCTGGAGCAAACCTGTAGTGTCCATACCTTGAATATATGGCACGTATGGATTTTCTATTTCAAAGCTGGGATCCAAAGCTTTTAAAACAACCTGCAAAACAAATTAATACAGCTGTAGAGATGGGATGAGCACCCACTCAAAGGATCAAAGGACACACATCTGCCTTTCGTGGATACAGACAGGAGGAAAACATGAAATGGTCACACATGATCTGAGCTCCTACAGACACAGACACGTGGCAATACCTCGCCATCAGTGGAGGGCTCGATATCTGAGTATCTTGAATCACAAACGATGTCTCCCACACTTTTTGCTGGACCAGAAGAGGCATTGGGAAAAGAAGCTGCACAATCCTGTGCAAAATATCTGAACACTTTCCAGGTCTGACCGAAGTCGGTAGAGCGCTCAACCAGCATCGCTGCAGGCCGAAATGTCTGCAAGAAATATTGTTTCAGGACTTCCTTAAGCAGGCATGGATAAGACATCTCCAGGGTTGTTGTATTGACATTTTCCTTGCTAAAATTCTGTGTTTGGGAGCTTGTAGGCTCATTACAGGGCTACTGTGCTGGCTGCATGATTCTCTGAAAAGAAATCATTAGAACTGTCTCCAGCAAAAGGGAAGGGTAACCTTCCTAGAGATACAAGATCACTTTCTAAGTAAGGAAGTTTACTATAACAATGTTGGAATTTTGTAAAAAAATAAATAAATTAAAAATTGAAACCATCTGGATCATAATGAATATGCATGAGAGGCTGAACTAAGTTGAAAGAGCAACTGCATTTATGTCCTATATTTTTAGGGCTTAATTTTGCATTTTTTTCCCTAGCTTTAATTCTCAGATTTATAGAAAATAGGACCAGAAGGCACATGAATAGGAGCTATTCAGTCTATCCTCCTCCCCTGAGGCAGGATTTACTATACCTTAACCATAGTTGACAGGTGTTTATCTAACCTGTTCTTACAAACCTCTAAAGATGGAGTTTTCACTGCCTCTCTAAGCAATTTATTCCTGTGGTTAAGTAATTAGTGTATAACATTACATAAAAGCTCTGGCAAAAGATGTACCTTAAAGGTCAGGACAAGATGGCTGAACTGGAATAATGTTTCTAGGTCCAATCTAATGCTGACATGGTCAATGCCTGAAAAGAGAAGGAAAATGAAGAGCACAATGCACACATTGGAGAGGTTACTGAGACAGTTTTGCCAGGGGGAATTTAAAGATGCCTTTTCCAGCACAGCAGCTATGCTCTTTAGGGCATCCCCTGTGCACAAACCAGGCATGCAGCTGGATTGCTCTCTCCAGGGCAATAGGATGTGCTGCCTTC